ATATTAATTAACATTTTGATATTAATGTATTTGCTGTTATGAGTATGTAATCATTATCCTAGGAGAATTAAGTTAAAACTAATTTAATTGAGGAGCTGGGCAAGACATCTAACTTATTCCAGCTTGGCTACTTATGCCTAACCTAGCTCAGTTACTCTGCATACCATCAAGACTGCAATTCAGATAACTCAGTAATATTGCTATTGGGTTAGAAAAGCTGTATTTCCTGGAATAGTATCTCAATTGGTTAGAACATCATCCAGTTAGTACAAGGCTGCGGGTTCAATCCCTGGTCAGGGCACATACAAGAAGCAACCAATGAATGCACGAATAAGTGGAACAACAAATTGTTGTTTTTCTCTTTCTCTCTTTCCCTCTCCCTTCCTTCTTTCTCTTTCTAAAATCAGTATGTAAAAAATAATTTAAAGAAGAGAAAAGTCTTACAGCATACTATATATCAGACACCAGAATGAAACTCTTTGGAACTGCAGTGGTAGTCACAGCAACTATAGAAGTAACAGATGATTCCCTTGGAGGAAAGCAACAAACTGGAAAAGATGGAAAGATCTAAATGAATTGTGCTATTCACTCAGGTCCCTTCTAACCCTTCCATAACCTGTATTGTGTTTAATATAAAATTTTAATATGTAGAATATTTTGCTGTCATCAATTTTATCAATCAGTAATTGAATCCCTCTGTAAAAAGATGCTATTACTAATACATATTATTATTAGTAGTAATGTATAATGCATTACTCAAATTTCTTGCAAATAGTAATATCTTAAAACCTAGATGGGTCAAACTGTGAATTGTGATGATCATTTTTTACCTGTTATTTATTAGCATCATCTGAACATCTTAAACATGATTTTTGGTATAATAGATTTTATGTAAATATACCTTTGTGGTTGTGTTTGTTGCTTTTCCAATAGAAGTACATTTGGAGCACTCACCTGGAGTTTTCTTTGCCTTTAAGTAAACATTTTATATTTAAGGGTCTTGAAACTGGTTAATAAATTTATTGATATATTAACTCAATATAATGCTTTTAATTGTTATGAAAAATATAAATAAAAAGAGAAGAGATTCACCAAATAAGATTGTCTTGAATTATAATAAAGATAGCAAGTAACAGAGTAAGGAATCTGTTTCTAGAATGTTGCTGGCTGAATATCTGGTGACTGGACTTGAAAGAGAAAGACCTTGTCATGAACCCAGTTTCTTTATAGACAAGGGGGGCTGGAACAGAAGCTCTCACCTGTTTTTACCTTAAGATACTATTTTTTCTTTTTCTTTATTTTTTCCATTTTTTAGTTGTATTTTTTCCACTGCCATTTTCCCCTTTTATACCATCTCCCCACAATCACCGCACTGTTGTCCTTGTCAATGTGTCCTATTTCCTTTTCACTCCATCCCTTGCTACCCCACTCTCCTAGGGCTGACTCTGTTAATGGACTGATTGTGTTCACATAAATGATGGGCCTCTCAGGCAGACCAATGATTAGTGGCGTTTCAAGAAAGCATTCCTAAATGTCTGTTCAACATTGATTTAGGGAAAGACTATAATATGTGGGCTAACTATAGAGCAGAAGGAATTTTGATGACATGACCTCAGTTTAACCTGTTAACATAACAGGATCCCTCTGTTTACCAGGTCCACCCTTCTTAGAAGAGAGTTAGTGATCCTCTCTTGTTATTTTACCATGTTGCCCAATGGTCTTACCTGCCTCACCCAGTGGTATATTAAAGCACTTCTTCTAATCACATAAGTTTCCTAAAAGAAACTCCAACATATAAAACATTCTCCTTCTCATTATATTCCTAGGAAAGGTTTAGAAACCCCTGTAATATTTGTAGAAATGCAATATTATTTCCACATCCCCTTTAGATGCGAGGTTGACAAGGTTTTCCATCAAGATTTATATCAAGTTCAAATTTCCATATGCCTATGTGTTTTACTCTCAATGCAGCATCCTAACAGGCCCCTTTCCAACCTAGTCTAAGTTCTCCTAAGCCAGAATTTCCCTCTGAATAGTTCTGAATTAAATTCTGCTTATGAAAGGCTCTTGGAAGGCAGGCAAGAGGAGACACCTTTATTCTTCAGAGGATGACATATGTAACATTGTTGATGGACAGGAGGTATGAGGCATATTCCAGGCAAGTTCATGAGAAATACGCGCCTCACTGTTGCTCTCTGGGTGTTTATGGGAGCTTACCAGAGCTTTTAGTATTTCCTGGGCACACATTTGAGAATCATACATTTTGGTACTATGGGATATATTAGTAATTATTCTCCTTTAATTTTAGTTCTTCCAGCAGTTATATAAGCCTCTCATTCCCCATATTAAATTCCTTCTTATATATTTCACTTCATATATTTCACTAAGCCAGCTTTGGAGGGGATGTGTTTCCAAGGGCAGACTCCTGGTAGAATGATGGGTGAAGAACTGATGCATAGGCTTCTGTCTCCCACTGGTCAAAGGTCTTTGCATAAGGCACCAATTACTTCCACACTTTCAAATACTTGTTGTGCCTCAGCATTAACATCCAATCCCAGAGACAGGAGGTGAGGGGTGTGCAGTGTGGGTATGAGATGTGGGTTTGTCAGGGTATGCCATATGAAGTTGGTCAGTTTGCATGTGACATTGGTTGCAACAGTGGCCATTGGAGTAGATTAAGTCACCAAAGACCCCAGAAATAGGTGAGGCTCAGAGGATCTGTAGTGAAGATATTTTCACTACATGAGATTTGGAGTCAGCAGGTCTTGGGTTCAAAACTTGATTTATTCTAATTGTGTAACTTGTCAGTTTTGTTTGTCCTTTTTGTATTTCCTCATTTTTGTTAATCATGAGACAATAATGGTACATTATTGTAATGTTGGAGTCACTCTGGAAATGCAATAAAGTACACAGTGTGTTTAAACATGGTACCTGGAGCATAATAATGCTGAATAAATGGTTCTTGCTGTGAAATTATTATCTGTGGTTTTCCAGAGTATTACTGATTCAGGTAGGAGGGAAATGGGGTAACCTGGCGGAGCCTGTTGCTCTTGCACATATGTGTGACTTATCATCATTAGGATGCTCCCCCAATCCTTGGTCAGGACCTTGGAAAGATTCCTCAAGTGATTTTTCTTCACCTTCTCTTTCTCCCAACAATGTGACTACTAGAAAATAGCCTTACACTCCTAAAGGGATGGCAGAAGGAATGAAAACACAGTTGTCTAAGCCTTGAAAAATCATCTTTGCTGGTCTAACTCTACTGTTAAATATAATTGAAAACAAGGGCCAGACACTGTGAGCAGAGACTCATGATGTTGGCAATGCAGCTTTTAATTCTAAAGGCCTATAAAAGGAATAAATCATATAAGGGAAAACACCAGCTAAGAAGGAAGCAAAGTGATAAAAGATGATAAAGATCTACAAAGTAAGATATGAAATTTGAAAGGGAAACACACTTTAACAATCTCTTTCTCTTTCTCATGTGTAAAATTAAATTTGGGAGTTGGTAATACAATGACCTCAGTTTAATCTCTGCTGATCATTAACTGTAGATATTTCACTCCAGAGACTTGGTATATTAAAGTAAATTGAAATTGCATTAATTAATTAACTGTGTTATACATCACCTTATTATAGAGGGTTATACTGCAATGAGAGCCTGTACGTATTATGATAAGCTATTTACTGAATAATAGCAGGTTAGAATTAAAACAAGAAAAACAAATATAAAACAATGAGTCAAGATTTGTGATTCTTGGTGTTTGTTTGTTTTTTTCTTTTAGTTTCTAAAAAAAATCTAGTCAACTCCCTTCTCTGTATGCAGGTAAAAGCACACTTTCCATCACTTTCTTTTTGCCGAATTCCTTCTAGAAAAAAAGACAAATCTCAAAGTTCATGAGGCTCTGCTCACCCAAGGGTCTGGAGATCATCCATCATAGTCTGAAGACCAGAACAAAGCCTTTTCATAACAAGTGGAAATTCTCTCCTCACTAAACTTTACTAACAGTTTCCTTTCAGAGAATGTTGTTTTTAGTGAAATCTTTTGGAAAGCCTATCCTGGCACTTTGGGGCATCTGAAAAGTCAGGGTGTATTTCTCAGGATAAAACAGAAAATAATTCTCTCTCCTAAGAGTTAATTGATCTGGTCATTTGATTATGTTTGTGTAACAGGGTTACAGTTCACTCCTGTTGGCCGAGGGCTCACACAGTTCATACCAGTGACATCCTGTAATTTAAGAGAAAATCACTACAATTAGTCACTAGATGTTACAAAGGCAAAGCAAATTGTTGATTGCCAAAGTTCTGATTTTTAAGCTTTTTTATTGTATTTACTGACATTCATGGTGTATTATTCACTTAGGTCCCCAGCTTTTCTTGATATTGAAGAATTATGGTCACACAACAAAATGAGGGAGGTGGTATAAGATCTTCATTTAAACTAGCTCAAATCAATTGAAGTTGCTGGTTTCACCCACAATATTTTATTTGGGAAGAAAGGTAAATCTGACTACATTTCATTCATTAAGAACTTAGAAAGTCAGTAGGAATATTGATCTAAAATAGTGTTTAGGAACTTGCATTTCTTCACTTGGCTTATTCTTGAGTACAAAGGTGAACTGACTTTTGACTCCAAATCATACACCTGAGTCAATAATCTGAGGTCCCTCCTTTGGCAGCTGGGCCTGAGGGTGATAAAGGCAGCCAGCCTCTAAGCCTCCTCCTGCATTATGCATCATTGTACCTTGTTATTTTTATATTTCCTTCTTTGCCTTTTATTATGTGTGATCTGGACATCTTTCATGTCCCATGATATCTGAAAGAGGTGTGGGAAGATGTCCAGACATTCATTACCAAAAGTTCATACTACTAACTTATCATGAGCACAAAAGCAATTTTCTCATTATTTGCCTTACATTTCAAGTACCGTTAATCATTGAACGAGCTTCCAGTTTCGTTTTCCTGTTACATCATTTCCTTTTTCATCCTCTCCTGTCTGCTCTCTGTGGGGTCCATGTTTCAAGCTGGTGGTGCCTCACTGGTCCAAGTGTGGAAGATAACTCTTTTTAGTTTCCTTTTAGAATGGTTATGGTGGCATCTTACTGAATCCTCCTTAGGAATGCTTTGGATTCCTAAGGACTTCTTAGGGTTCTTCCACTATGAAGGTTCTGGTAAGTGTTGAAAAGCTGTTTTTTTCTTGTCTCTTTTACTTGAATGTCTTTTGTCTTAGGATTTGGTAGTAGTTAATACCTGTGACCCTAGGGTGTCAGTTGAAACTTATTCTAGATAGACATATGTTCATGTTCACATCCTGGAGAATCTAGAAAGTAAAACAAGAGCTATTCAGACAAGGGCACACTATTGTTGATTCTCTTAGACATATCTATTTGTTACTTTAATCCTTCTCCATGAAGACTCAATAATATAGTAAGCTGTTTTATATTTATATTTTATATATCAATTCTTAAATGATCAGAATCTAATTAAATGAACAGGATTTAACTATCTATGGGTTTAATTCTATTGTGTGAGGGCAGCCATTCTCATTTAACCTTGTTTTCTTTAGAAAGCCCCAAGTAGAGCATGCAGATTGGATAAAATGGAACTGACTGAACTAGAGGCTACTCGAGGGCCGGGATCGTATCAGACATCTTTTGCATTTTGTCATATTTTTTTGTTCCCTGTTTTCACTCCAGCCATTTCTGAGGTACACTGTTCATGCAGGTATAATATGACAGCCTCTGTCTTCATTATACTTCACATCTCTTGCTTTTGGCCCAGGATTTTCTTTCCAGTTCTAAAGGGGATGCTAACACATGCAGAAGAGAGTCCAGTTTCCATGAGCTAACCCTCAACAACTGGGGATGAGAATTGCTCTCCTTTTTCTCAGGTGGACAATTCCGGGGTAGGAACACATGGCTCCTCAGAAGATCCCTAGAGGATCCGTGCTCCAGTTCTTCACCAAGGTAATCAGTTCAATGATGCAGTTTTAAATTAACTTTCCCTTCTTGTCTGTGTTGCTCTTCCACTTCCCTACTCCAGTTGCCTGGGTTCATTTCCCAAATTAAACTTCATACATTCTAGGCCTTATCTCAGGCCTTTTGCAGGGGAATGTAGGCCAAGGCTTTGTTTCTCTGTTTACTGAAGAATTCCAAACACTTATAACAGCACCTGGGACATAGTAGGCACTCAACCAAATGTCAATGGAAAAACTAAATTGTGTCCAGAGGATGGACAAGATAAGTGGCATTCCTTGCAGAATGTGGGCTTAAGAAAGTTTATTCCCTTAGGGGTTGTGCTGTCTCTTAAGACTGATCATTGATGATAGGTGCTGTTGGTGTGTTTCTGATGTATTATATGAAACATGCTGCATGACTCTTCTGAAAAAGAGGGAGCTGCCTCTTCACTTCAGTGTCAGAATTTCCGGGCAAATAATGTTTTATCAGGTGAATTATAGCAGTTGAACATTGGAATCCAGTGGAATGCATTGTTTTTTGCTCATAAATAATGCAAAGAGGATAACTCGCAAAGATAAAGGCCAGTGATTCATTCTACACAACCTTTATGTAAACCTCATAAATTGTGCACAGTGATGTCTAGGAATGTGACAGTGGCTGTGGCACCGGATCTTGTTGACGATGGCATTGAGAATGAGAGCTAAAAAGAACGCTCCTTCCAAAAGGGAGAAGGATTGAGAGAGGGAGGTGGGGGTGGGTGAGGCAGGCGAAAGTGGAGCCAGGAAAATGGAGACAATTGTACCTGGACAACAATTTTTAAAAAGTACAAAAAGAAAGAACAGTCCTTCTCACTTCTCTTCTACTCTCTCACCAGGGAAAATTTGAAAAAAAATTCTATTTTCAGAATAAAGCAGACAACTCACAAATTAACAATAATAAAAAAAAACAAAGAAAAATGGCACTAAAAATCATATTATATAAGGTCTAATTAGGAATAGATTGAGTTGTACAAGGTTTTTATTGTTGGTCATTTACAAAGTTATAGAAATCATATACCCACACCCACACTCACATTTACATATTTTCAGAACCCTGATAATATGGGAAATGCTTAGCCACTTCCACCAGAATGTGAAAGTGTTAGTTTGGAATTTTCCAAGAGTGGAATTGAGAACCTTTTAGTATTTGTTTTCTATTGTCTTCAGGATACATGGGCAGGGAGTTTTAGATAAGAACCTGGATTGCAGTACCTCAGTCTTCGTTCTGCTGCATAAGCCACAGGAAGTCACAGAGTGTAGCAAAAACAGGGCTCACAGACATCATAGATGCTTGTCATGTTAGGAGGAAGTGAAACCTTAAAAATAACAATTTTTTTAATGTTATAATGAGAAAAAGCTAAACAAGAATTAAAATGCAAACAGCCAATTCTAAAAGGGGGAAAAAAACACAAGGAAACAAAATATATTCACCCAGCGTGTGTTCAATACAGTGGTTTATTGCATCTTAAAGTACTGAAGTGTTACTACATACAGTGTAATGGGCCTCCATGAAATATATGAGACTTGTTCTACTGGAGTTATTCCATGCATCATCTCAACCCCACTGTGCAACTTCCTTCCATAAAAATATTTTTCTTCCTCTGAGGTTTCAAAATCCTTGAAGGACTCAAAGCAATCACAGAATGCAGCACAAGCTTAATTAGTTAAATGGACTACGATAATATTATTAAATACTTCTATCATCATTTGGCAAAGGTTCCCTTTCAAACAGTTAAATAAGATGCTTTCATTTGCTTCCAAATAAAAGTGCTTCCTCTAGCAAGTAACACAACAGCAGAAACCACTGCAGTTTCTTTCCGTTGCATTCACCTTAAAAGAGAGACTGTTCATAGAGTGAACATCGAGTGCTTTGTTTTCCCCTTTGATTGGTACCTGGAATCACGTTTTGCTTCAGGCATTTTCCTATAACAAACATTATGTTTCTAATTAATTGAAAGAAAACATGACCACAACATTAAGAATGGGAAGCATCAATATTAGAATTCAATTTCTTGCAATGCCCTTGTGCAGTTATAAAGCAGCTACACATTTTAGCTACCCTTGATATAGAAACACGGTTATAGAAGGAAAGTACACCTTCCAGGTTCTTGAAAGTGGAGAGAGCATTGCCACACACTTGAATCTTGACCTTTTTAGGGCTGACTTTTTGAGACATGTGTCCAAAGAGCTTATATATTGTTCTTTAGAAACATGATGTAATTTGTATATGAAGAGAATTAAAAAAATAAACAGCACTAAAGAGATAATTACTTTTCTTGGTGCATGACATATGTAATGAAGAAGCGTGAGCAAAAAAAAATCTTTCTATGGTATGCTCCTGTGGCCAGTTATTTATTAAGAGCACTATCCACTGTTCCTAGCAGCCCTCAGGTTCAAATTAATGTCATTGTATTAGCAAGGGTATTTGCTGTGTGTGCTATGCACTTTACCTTGTGATGAGGATATAAGAAATAGTTAGCTAGTACGTTATACAGTCTGGATTCCAAAAAGAACAAAAAGTCTAGCCAGGCAGATCAACAAAATAAATAGGTCACATAAATATTTAAATACTACCTCTGGCCTGGAGTGATGAAATATCACTTGTTTCCTAGTCCCTTTTCAACCAGAGGTCAAGTTTCAATGACACTGAAAGTGTACTTGTGTCCCCTAAAGTCGACATGTTGAAACCTTGGCCTGTAATGGCAGAGGGTCTGAGGAGACAGGGTCTTTGAGTGCTCCTGAGGGTGGGCTCTCATGCTGGCATTAACACCTTCCCTTATTGGGCTTCCCTTGTCTCTGTTCTCCACCCTGTGATGATTTAACAGCCCCATCTGCAAACCAGAAAAACTGCTTTTACGAGGCACTGATCAGTTGGTGCCTCACCTTGGACTTCTGAGCATCCAGAATTGTGAGAAATGCATATTCGTTAGGTCATGCAGCCTATGATATCTTGATTCAACAGCAAAGTGAAATGACTAAAACAATGCTAGTAATCTTTATGTTTTTAAAAAATAACTTTCCTTTTCAGATATTTTTAACAACTCCTATTTCTTATAGGTAAATAATACCCTTAACCAGATGTGATGAAATAAATAATCAGGAGAGAGGGTCACAGCCCTGTGCTGGGACATATGTTTCCATGGGTCTCTCATTTTTCTGCATGTCTTTTAAGCAGACTATGTTTGCTCCAGATTATCTTTCCATAATGTTTGCATAGTAAACAACATTAAAACATAGAGATAAGGTCTCCCTCCAGAGCCAAAAGAAAGTTTGCTTACTATAAAATATAATAAAATAATAACTTTCTTTGGGGCAAAACGCAGGCATGCTTCCTGTCCAGTATAAAAGATTCAAGTTTCATAAGCTTGAGGTTTCTCTTCTGTACTGCAGACCACCTTAGGAGTAGGTATCACTTGGCCCTCTTTGCATTGCCCTGTTGGAATGTGAGCCTGGAGAATAAGCGAAAATGCTGATCCTCTAGTTACTGCTAATGCTGTGAGTAATAATGTCTTTGTTCTCTGGCCCAGAGGTCTCATGTCTTCTTCCATGAAACTGCACCAAGCCAACTTGTTAGTTTAGACTCCTCACTATTCTTTACATCTTGCCCCTTTCACTTATCTTTTTGTTTCTTCATATGACTGGTTTTCTGTCAGAGGAGGGAAAGGACAAAAATGGCTGGGTGGTTTGTTGGGAGAAAGATCACCAGAATAACAGAAAAATGACCCTTCCAGAAACAGTCCGTGACAGGGAGGAGAAGATTGAGGAAACAGTCGGGTGTAGATAGGGACATTTTTTTATACAAACAAGGTCTATTCAGAAGGTATCCAGCCATGTAATATATTTTTAAAAAAGAGAGATTTATTGAAGAAGATACAAGATACAAGAAAAATTGTACATAGGACAATGACACCTCAGATCCCATCAAAGTAGGCACCTTGGGACCCCACACAGTTCTCCCAATCACCTTCAGCTGCCCTGTTGTGTTTTCCTGAATATCACTGAAGAGTCTGAAATCTTTTCCTTTTCAAAGGTGAATTTAGTTGTTGGAAAAGCCAGAAGTCACAGGCTGCCAAACCTGGGCTGTAGGGGCCTGAGTCACCTGGGTGATTTGATGGTTCACCAAAAAACCCTGCGTGAGACATGATGCATGAGCAGGCATATTGTCATAATGAAGCTGCCAATCACCAGTTGCCCATAGATGCAGCCTTCTGAATCATCTGAATAGTTTCCCCAGAGCAATGTTCAAGCTTAATGCAAAATTTGATGCAGATCCATTGCTTTACTTGCTCAATCATTTTGAATGTGACAGCCACATAGTACATATACTCACTCAATGGCATCTCCAACCCCCACTGAGTAGAACAGTGAAGTCATCAATGTTCACCCATGTGCATTCCATCTGCCATGTTACACCGATGTTGTACAAACCATTCTCTAACAATGGCTGGACTTTTTCCAGACAGGCCTTGTCATTTTCATATTTATATAGGTGAATTCTCAATTACTTTCAAACTGGCTGGTGTGACAGGGGACGATTTTACTCAGACTATTCCCAAATATACTTTCTTCATTATTTTATGATTCATATTTCCTTCCTTATATTTATCCCACTCCTTCCCTCAGCCCCTATATCTTTCTGGGATGCCTGGGCATGTGATCACATACAACTTTCTGCTTGTGAAGAATGAGTTTATTTTATCTGGTCCAACAATTCTAAGTACTTCTTTTGATGACTTGAAAGCTTCAGAATGGTTCTTGTTCTTTCCTTTTCCCTCCTTTTGGTGGCACCTGGGTTTAAGAAGTGAAAAAAAAAAAAGAATAGTATAGGAAACAGAGAAGCCAGACAACATATATGTACAACCCATGGACATGAGCTAAGGGCAAGGGATGCTGGAGAGTGGGGGAGTGCAGGGTGGAGAGGGCAGAAAATGAAGAAAAAATTGGGAAGACTGTAATAGCATAATCAATAAA